GAAGTCGGAAAGTTTAGAACCGTGGGTAGGGTGAGGAAGGGGGAGTGGGGAAGGGGAGGTCGTACCAGAGCACGAAATTTCGAGGGAAGGGTCGTATTTTGCAAAAATCTTCCCAAGTAACAGGACACTATCGGTTTGGGCTCGTTTTACCTCCTTAACACGAGTATCACATCCATTCAAAACAAAGGGTACCTGACGTCCACACCACGGACGTCGCCTCAGCGCCCATAGCGCATATGACAGGCGTTTTCACGCCGAGCTAATGTAGTTCGTGTTCTAGAAGTCAAAAGACTCCTGCGAACTAAGTTCATAAGTTTAATGTTCAGAGGTGTTCCGGCGCACGTACTACGCCTTTTGAGCTTATCGGAAGCACCTTCGTTCTCACGGATTCAAACAACTCTTGAAGGCAGAATTTCAGTCAGTTCTTCTCAATGGAAAAACTCTGATCAAAATCTGGCCGTGATTCCGAACTGCTGATCTTCCACGCGTCCCAACAACCAAAAAGTATGAAACACTGCTAGATGCACCATTTCTGTCAACTTCTGCACAGTTATTGCCAGTGGAACTCGTTTCTTGACAACATTGCTTCCATAGCAAATCGAGAGCGATACTACGTTCAAACCACAACTTTTCGAGGAGACATCTGCAGTACCATGGACCTACAATCAACTTTACTGAAACATAATTGAAAATCGAATTCTTACTAGATCACCTTTTTGAGCCTTTCCAAGTCATGCATGTGATCCGCCTTAACGTCTTCATCAGCCGAGAAATACTTGTCCAGAAAGCGAACTTCTGCTGATTGTCTTTCGACAGCACTGATGTCGAAACGGTTCAAATCCACTAGACCGCTCAACTTGGCTATTATGACCTGAAAACTAGATTAAGATGCCGTATTGAGAAGCTTTACGAAACACTACAATAATGAGGGAGTTGCTGACGACAAGACACCAAGCAGAAAATGTTCTATCAGTACCGGAAGGGCTTGAAAGTCTCCTGGGGTGGAGAGACCTACTATTCTATATTCTGAGTTCCTGTGTTCACTGTCGCAGTCGAGGGAAGATCGCGCTTCACCACAATCACGACTATGAGCGAAACTTCCCCCGATGGGCATCATACGAAATGCGCTAGTCTGACAAGGTAAAGCGGAAGGACGTTAATGGGTTTCCTACTTTCTTCTTTCGAGTTACCCTCTCTGGAGGGTATAGAAGGCATGAATACTGTGGACAGGAACTGGCCGAAGATTTGATCCTGCTGACGGTGGCTGCTGGTAAGACGCGCGCTTGCAATCACCCCCTCCTCCTTGCAAGACAGAGCAAGCTGCCGTCAATTTAGGAAGCCACAGTGAGTAATCACATTTCACGATAAAGAAGAATTCAATGATACAAAGCAGCATTATACGATGTACCTCGTGTATCTCGATGCCTGGAACACAACTTAGATTTTCACAGTCAATATATAAGATAGAGAGCATTGGAAGTGCTTGGAGCCGATTGATAGACCGCCACTAAAAGTAACTTGAAAAAAGTGCATGTGCTTACAAAATGGAACAGCGGCTCATTAACATGACAAGAAACCTACTTCGGATATCATATTGTTCTTAACATTCAGTGTGGTTAACGAGGGAAATGGGTCATTCTCTATAAGGATCCTATGAATGCCACATCCCACCACGGAGAGCTTTCGAAGACTGCAACATGTTGAAATGTAAACAACAGTA